TTGCTTGTTTGTATACTGTAGTTTTGCTAAGGACTGTAATTTTTTAATACAACAAAAATTCAAAAACATGTGAGGAGGAAATCACTTCCGTCACCTTCACCCCTCTCAGTAGGCAATTTTCGCAAACTCATTGCGGAATTAGAATCTGCGGTTCGTGTGCAAAATCGAGAAGTTACTATAGTAACAGTTGCATGACCGCTGAGGCCCTGCAATCTAGAACGGGTTTTGGCCAAATCTACGGGCGTTTTCAATGACGCCCCAAGTGAATCAAGTGCCTCGATACAAACTATTTCATTCACCTGATAATAATAATAGTATTTAAATAGACAGAATCCAATCTGCATACATTAGTTGTTGCCACACTTAATACATGCAATTTGCATTCTGACTATTGTGAATCCTAGACAGGTGAATGAAATAATTTGTATTGAGGAACTTCACAAAGACGTATGTATTAAATTTGATTACATTACGAAAATGGCCTGTTCCCTTCCACGCAATACAGTACAGACGGGACTACACGACTAGCACAACTTGTCTCGACCAAGCCACAAAACGGCTTTTTTATCAAATTTCAACAATTTATCATCAAGTTTTAAAACAATTCATGTTACATCCATATTCATGTTGTTATTGTTCAGAAACAATAATCGGAAGAAAAAAAACTCACCGAAGAGTCATTTGTGTCAGGGGCGGATCTAGGGGGTTAGGAGGTTTAAATCCCCCCCCCTTGGGCAGGCCAAGGTGCTTTCTACCCCCCCCCCCCCTGCCCACCTGCCCCCCTGCCCCCCCCCCCCTTCCCAAAAAAATAAATGAATAAATAAATAAAAAAAAATAAAAAATTAAAAAAAAAAAAAAAAAAAAATTTAAAAAAAAAATAATAATAATAATAATAATATTGGTTGGCACTTTTTTCAAATTGAAAACAATTTTTAGTGCTCCCTACCCCCCACTAAGCGAAATATTGGTCGGTGCGATTTTTCAAATGTCAACCCCCCACGCTTTAGAGAAAAGCTAGATCCGCCCGTTAAAATTCGTCATCCTTCGTTATTAGACGACGAAATTCTCATCACCATCTTTGGTACAAGCTCGCTGATTGGCTGTTTATTAACTTGGGGCGTCATTGAGAACGCCCGTAGATTTGGCCAAAATCCGTTCTGGATTTCAGTACCTCAGCGATAACCCTGCTGTTATTATAGTAGCTTCACGATTTTGCACACGAACCGCAGATTCTCTGTCCGCAATGAGCTTGCGAAATACCCCTAATGTTTGTCGAACTGGCAACAACTAATGTATGCAGTTTGGAGTCTGTCTATTGAAATACTATTATCCTTATCAGGTGAATGAAATATTTTGTATCGATGCACTTCACAAAGACGTATGCATTAAATTTGATTACATTACGAAAATTGCCTAATGGCATTGCAAATGCAATACCTCCGTAGAGATACGTTCTTATACACCGAAAAGCGAAACCACGTATTGTATCTGTGTGCGACGGCCGTAAACCTGAGTGCTCTGCGTCCGCGAAGTTCTGTAAGTTGCTGAGCGAAAACTCGCCATTCACTATTGCTCCCTCGCACTTGCATACTAATATATATATATATATATATATTTTTTTTTTCGGGGGGGGGGGGGCTTGGGGCAGTTCCCCCAAAAATGAAATTCAAACGTGGTTTATTTCTCATGCTGGTTGCTCATCTGACCGTAATTAAATGCCTTAAACGCCTGAGCTTCCGGGGGCTTCGCTCCTTGACACCCGCCACTTTACGTTCCACTTTGCTTTGCTTTGCTCTACCTGATCGTAAATACTTTAGCCCCTTCCACCCCCCCCCCCCCACACTTTGAAAAACATTCCCAGGGCCTGCGTAACATGTAAAACGTTTTTGCTCATTACGCCACTGCTCCCTCGTCCCTCGCATTTCGTCCACCGGTCATGACAAGAAATCGCCTCCCCTGCACGTCTCTAGTATAAATTTTAAACCCAAGTGTAATGTTTATATGCACACACATGCACTTTACCCTAGCCTAGCCCTTTTATGGGAACCTGCAAAGCAAAGTACGATACTGAACAGGCAAGTGACGTGTTGTAGAGACCTACGTTCGGCTTAAAAGACAAATTCGAAATGATTTACTTATCCATTTCCCAAGGACACTGTTATACATGTATATTTCAATGGGGACCATATGCAGACGATCGCTTTGTAAGAATCAAATTCGATGACGATTCACTTCTCAACGTCGTTGTACGTACCACAACTGTTGTATGATAACCCTTAAAATACATTCTTTTATTACATAAGAACTAACTTCTCTCTGCTAAGGAAATAAATTCATTGTAGCAGGAGTAGTCCATTGAGGAAATGAACACGGTAACAATAATATTCTGCGATCACAGCTCAAAAGATTCGTTCGCCCTTTAAACTACTGAGTATAAAAACTTACGTTCTCTTCTAATTCGTATTGGATTGTCTTTTTCTTTCTTCGTTCCTTCCTTTGTTTCTTACTAATGTTCGGCTTTTGTTTATCTTTTCTTCCTATTTTTCTTTCTTTCATGAAAAAAAAAGAATAAGAAAGATTCGAAATAAAAATTTCGGACGTGGACAGATCGACCCTTAACATGCTTTTCCTCCAAATCCCTCTGTGTTCATTTCTCGAAAAAATAAATAAGAAAGTTTCTCGCTCTGTAATCAAACAGATCATTGATTCAGTTCACGAACTTAAAAAAAAAAAAAAAAACATCTAACGTTACTTAACGTTAGGTAAAGCCTAAAGCTTCTGATCTAAATGGAAGGACTGTTGGATTAGAAAGCATGAAACCTGTCTGAAAATGAACGTCATGATGTTAATATGCAAGCACGTAGATTTGATTGTATATACATGTTCGATTTGCAGACAGCAGACAATTTTGTATATCTGGCCGAACATATAGCCTTGACGTATTTAATATTAGACATATAAAATCCATTTCGTCTGTCAATGTGTATCTTAGTTTCGGACTCCACCCACCCCCTCCCCCCCAAAAAAAAAAGGTACCCCTCTCTCACGTTTCACTCAGCTCCATTTCTGAAGGCCTTTACTACCCTTTTGAACACGCTGACGTCTTTAGACATTTATATTTTCTATGATTTAAGCCTTGAAGTTCATCTATGCTTTCTCTATTCATCACATACTCCATCTCTCTCTCTCTCTCTCTCTCTCACTCTTTCTCTATCACTCTTTCTCATCAATCTCTTCATTTCAAAATGTAACTCTGATACCACTCATCTATGTGGCTTTCTTTTGCCAGTGTTTTTTTTTTTGCGTAACTGCTAAAGTATGTTTATGTCATAAATGACAGTAATTAGGATTAATGCCCCACAAAAGGGCACTTATATAGCACATCGACACGGTTTTGATCCTGGGGCCATTGCTTTGCCACTGAACCATGACTGTACGCAGCGGGGGCTAGGGTAAGGGGCAGTTCCCACAAATAAAAAAACAAAAGAAAGAAAATGCAAGAAATTATCAATAATTCATTGAATTTCCCCCCAGTCCCACACATGATCTAATTTACTGGGTGTAAGCCACAAATATGTTTAAACAAATAAAACATGTTTTAAAGAAAGTTATATTCTACATCATGTAACAATATTTAACCAGTCAGTAAAACGACTTCAAATCAATTTGAGTTTAATTGATTATGATTCTTATTTTGTAATATGTGACACGGGTGCCTAGCTGGCAGATAAGGGAAAAAGGAAAACATCGTCATTATCTAATATCATTGCTAATATTATTAATATCCTTATCATTATTATCATGTATTATTGTCACTTTTGATTTATAATCTTCCTCCTTTATTCCCCCCCCCCCCTCCCTTTTGTTTAAATATTGGTTTGTTTCCGTGTACGTTCTGCATTATCTATACCCATTTGCATCTGTTGTTGAAAGTTACAAGATTTTGTTCGTATTTAAGCATCATCATTTAAGTTTTCTACGATTAGCTTTTAGATAATTAAAAAATGCATTGTAAATAATATTACGAAGCAATGATAATAATAATATTAATAGTAACAATCATAACAATAATAATAACTTACTCTAAATATAATTATTACAAATATGTCTTTATACAGTCCCTGTATGAAACATATCAACACCGTTATTAATAACTACGACATCATTGCTACATCGCGAAATATATGTACAGTTCATAACTAAATTATTCATACCCTCATCAAGTTTTGTAATATTTTAAGTATGTCAAAAAGTTGATCTGTCCCGATTCATGTATCATGAGAACGATACACGTACATAGTTTATTACATGTATTAAATTTAGCACCTCAATGTATTCGGCAAAGGCCCTAATTCAAACCGGTTTACCTTTCATTCCTGAGTTATAATAAAAGATAACAAAAAGAAAAAAATATTTACAAGGGGTATGAATAATTTAGTTGTAGATCAAATGTTTGATAAAATGGTGATGCAATATACCAATATACATTGACAGAAGTCAATGTGAAAATGCATGCAATCGGACTTTCATACACAGAAGCTATTTTTTCCCGAGGTTAGCTTTTATAAATATCATTTCATTCAATCGGAATTCATAATTTCATTTCTTTCATAATCATCGTTCACCACCGAAATATACAAAATATGACAAAAGAATATGAAGAAGCAACTTTAACCTTAACTCGATCACACATATAACCCCGAAATTTGACATTGTTATTTGGTTGTTATGAAAATAATTTGCATGTTCATTTGAAAAATAAATGGTGAAAAAAATCATAATATTTATCGAATCCTTCTTTTAATTATTTGCAATTGCAAAGACTTTAGTTGTGAGGGACTCGAGGCCACTCGCTCAAGGCATATATTACAATTATTCTAGCTAGATCATGTACATGTACTTGCATTCTATATATATACAATACTTTTTTCAATTTTCAATATAGCCTAACGAAAAATAATGATTTCTATCGATCAACATTAATTTCTGATATAAGCACTTGAACATTCGTGACCTAATAAAAAAAGATGGATTTAAGGCATTAACCTTTTCTTCTTCGAGTACAATTTTTATAATTTGGTCTCAATTGGGTCATTTGTAATGTAATAACCTGTCTTTAGAAACTGTTTATGTTAAACCTAAACACATACTAGTATGCATATGTTATTACATTGTCGGTCTTAGACATTTCCTGAAGCCCATCTATGTGACTCTCATACTGCGGAATATTTCATCCAATTATGCCCGGGTCTTCGTATTCGTGTATTGCTTCATAGTCGGTCTTAGACATTTCCTGAAGCCCATCTATGTGACACTCATACTGCGGAATATTTGTTCCAACTACACCGGGGTCCTGGTATTCGTGTGTGATTCCATAGTCCGTCTCAGGTTGTACCTGAAGCCCACGTATGGGACTTTCATTACCTAGCGAATTATTCCTTCCAACTACACTATTTGTAATGTCCTGGTATTCATGTGTGATTTCATAGTCGGTCTCGGGATGCACCTGAAGCTTATACAAGGTCTTACCGTACTCTGGACCAGTTTGTCTATCGGCCCCATTGACAGGTACCTCATACCCATCTCCCTGAGAGATTACCTTATTTAATTTCTCGTATTTTTGGAATGTGGGGCCATCATGGGGAGTCGTAAGGGCCATGTATGGATCCTTCCCGCTATGATAACCCGCAACGTCTGTCACCTGGAGATCCTGAACATTGGGCGATTCAAATGTCGGGTTATCCCTTATTCCAGGACTCTCCCGAGGCTCTCCGGAGGCGGCGATACCTTGAGATGACCCGTGCTTGAGCCTGGTATAACATTAAAGACATTGTCGCAATTTATTAGAACGGATGAATAAAATTAGTCCGGTCAATTTCAGGTCAATAAACGCGCGCGTACGCGTACGTCCGCGTGTCAGTGCTAAAAATCATATTTTAATCAAATAAGAGTACGTTTCAGGCCATTCTAAGCATTTCGCAAAAAAACGCGCAAACGCGCATTTTCGCTCGTTTTCGTTCGTGACGGCCGAATGAAAAATAATTCCTCCTAGTGCAAATTTGACAGGATATTACTTATTTTTTTCCCAATCATTTGATACCATGATTATCTTTTTATGACCATTAATAACGGAATCAGCGTCCATTCAAAATACATGTCCGTACGCGCGAGATCTTGTAATACATAGCATATATGGGCAAAAACATGCCTATACGAAATACATTATAGCTCTTTGGGATGCATGAAGACCCCCAATTTTGTTTACATATATCGATAGAGTTTAAGTTGTAGATATGATTTTATGTCTCACTTGGCCTTTACGTATATCGTAACATCCTCATTATGGCCTTGGAACTCAAAATACGAATTTGCATATTATGACGTCATCATATGTATGGAAAATTGATTGTATCTCTGTAAATATCGATTAATTTACTTCTAAACTTAGATATGTTGTAGCTGAGAGAGTTCTCTACTAGAATATTGCCCATCGTTTTTCATTTTGATGACGTCATCACGGTGAAAAATTCAATTAAAGGCGACATGTCAGAATTTTCTTAATTTGCGTGTTATAGAAGGTGAATTTCGTTCACATCGTGAATCTACATGGTATTAATCTTTGAGCACTATCTACCTTATTTGTGCTCTTATTTCTCCCACATTTTGGTATGTTATAGCTGAGACTATGGGCTATAAAAACTGTGTTTGTTGTTTTTTAATCAGATGTTGAGATCATGTCGAAATTTTCAATTGAAAGTTGAAATTGCAAATTCTGTAGAACTTTGCAGGATTTTCTTTATTAGGTGGTCTGTCTTCGTCAGACTACCTATTTTTTTCGTCAGAATTTTCTTTCTTTAAGAATGTTTATTTATTTCTCCCCACTTTTTTGTTCCGAGAATAACTCAAGATCGGTTGACTCAATTTCATTCAATTTTGGCACAGTCAAAGGTCATTGTCATAAGACGTCATCAAGGTCATCATCATTCATATTTACCATGATCAAGGTCACTATTTATATAACCTGGCTGATTTTCATGCACAATCTCTCCAATGACTTTCTGTACCGTTGCAGCTAAACCCGCTGTCATGGTTTTATAGTCATAATTAAAGGTAATACAAAGTTTTGGGAAATTTTGAAAATTGGGTAGATGGTGAATTTTTACAATTTTGATATATTTGGATGCCCCTGTGGATATATTATAAGCACTAGAAAATTAAGCCCCTAAAACACTTCTGCTTTCGAGGAAAATTGAATATAAATATTTACCGGTGCTCCTTGTAAATTTGGATTTCAAATAGCGCCTACGGCCGTACCATGGTAGCTTTGACCATGAAAATCTCAGAATATGTAGTTGTGGTATATAATTTCTAAACGGGAGTAGCTAATCGGTCGATTTTGGTCAATGAACATTGTTTTAAAATTTAAAGCTTAATTAATATCTTGACCTTGAGAGAGAGCTTTAAAACATCAAGAGTTTATTATTCATGATTTCATAACTTTAGGCTCGATTTCAACCGCGATAACGATCACTGAATATTGAAGGATTGCATACGCTTCCAATTGGTTAATTTGAACCAAATTCATGACCTCTAACCAACACTTTTTATTACCTTTAAGCAAAGGGATTGGTCTCCATTTTAAAGAATTACTATCCATCCCTTTTTTCCCAAAACTTTGCATTACCTCTAATAAGAACTAATTTTAAGTGATGTACAAAATACCTTATCATGAGAAAAGAATTGGGATGATTAAATCAACTATGATAAAATTTATCACCCCCCCCCACACACACACACACACACACACACACACACACACTCACCTTGCTCTAATTCTCTGTTTGTCTCTGTGACACATCAATCGACTTTGGCTATACTGTTCTAGACTCTCTCCCTTTGTTGCCTTCAACGTTAGCCCCACGCCACGACCCCTCCCCCCATCTCTCTCTCTCTCTCTCTCTCTCTCTCTCTCTCTCTATGTGTGTGCGTGTGTGTGTGTCTCTCTCTCTCTCTCTTTCTCTCTCTCTATGTGTGTGTGTGTGTGTGTGTGTGTCTCTCTCTCTCTCTGATCATCTCTGTAGACTACCCATCCATAATTTAGTTTATTTACATCGATTTGGAGAAGAAAAAGTGTTTCCGAAATATTCAAGGAATGAGAACGATAAAACAATACGGGAAAACAACTAAATAATTAAAGAATAAAACAACGTAAAACATGAAACCTTCTCTTGTAGCAGATGACTCCAGAGATAACGACAATCAGAACCACGACGACGACGACGACGACGGCTGGGATTACTGGACTAATGGAGCCTGTGGATGATGTGAAAGGATTCGAAACCATTGAAACATTTATCTTCAATCGTTAAAGGTGTTTATTCTTTCACCCTATAGTCATGGCATTCCCTTCATATGGGTGATTCTAAATTTGATCCGTCGACAACCGCTCCGAGCTCTTTTTCGTCAAATGTATACAGATAGGGCTAGGGTTACAATGGAGTTTATACTAGCTTTAGGTTTAGGATTAGGAGTATGATTGAGGTAAACATCGTGTTGGCGTCAGGAATGAATCAAGAATTCGGGTAATAAAGGGAATTACCCCCAAACGATTGTCGCAGGAGCTTGTTTCGTACACTTTCATTTGATGGCAATGCGTACAATTATTGCAAAGATGCGCATTTTCATGAGTTGTACACTGTAAAAAAGAATTTGTTCATTGGTAATTTTTCCTCTTTTTTTTTCCATGTAGAATTTACTTGAAAACATTAGTTTTGCCACTTACGCACTAAATTTAAGTCTTGCTAACTCAAACTTTCAATTTAGTAGAACATACGTGGAATATTTAAGTAAAATCAAATACATAAGAACTTTATATAATTTCAGCTTGTATTAATTTAGTAATTTTAACTCAAAATCAGAAATTATACGTATTACTCAAACAATTTATGGTGATTATTCTTATCTTTTTAAAGTAAGGACCGATGCGGTGCGTAATAGAAATATTTACATAATTTATGAATATTCATTAAGACCAAATTAAACTCTTTTTTAAATAAAACAATTCTTTTTTGTGGTTGAATGAAAATTTAAGGACTTTAAAACATTTACTAATTCATTTAACATGGCTAAGCAAAGACAAGACAATTTTTAACTGTTACCCAGTTTAAAACAAATCAAAACTTGATATTTCAGGAAATTGTCAACCAATTTTCCTTTTAAGATGCTACGATCAAGTATATATAAAATTTGGAGCCTTTCAATATGTGTTGAATTGAAGCGTATGTAATAGTTTGTGATGGTGTTAGATATATATATATATATATATATATATATATACGGTTAAATCTTAAATAGAAGTAGTGATAGTGATAAGTGATTAATCTTAAATAGAAGTAGTGAATGATTAGTGGATGTTACTTGTTAGATTAGATGGGTACCAAATCGTGCAATATGTAATCCTATCATAGCTTTTTTTTTAATTATCTAAAATGATAAAAATACTTAAATTATTTACGTTAATGTAACTCGATTTAACTGAGTAAAAATTTATTCAGCAAAATAAGTAAATTCTACTTCAGATGCGGTAGGTAATATTTACTATTCGTAAAAGAGAAGGGGAAAACCCCGGTGTAGTGGTCCACCTGCACACCCCAGTAACCTTCGCGTTATATCCTGGCTTATGGATCCTGTCAAGTATCGACGTAGAGGTAGAGCCGCGTTTTTCAACTTCTTTTTTTTTTTTACTCACGGCACCCTTTTAAGAGACACAACGTTTCACGTCAGTCACATCAATCCTAAATTCATCATAGAAGATTAATTTACATCACTCTTGCACTCGCCAAGTGCCATGCATGTGCGTATATAAGGGCACATTTTTAAATATTTTTTGAGAGAGCGAGCGAAGCAAGCGAGTGGCGATGGACCAATGGTTGTGGCGGTTTTCATTGGTAACACTGAATGGGTTGAAATAATGAGACCAAACAAAAATATCATTATTAGCGACAATGTAGGCCTGCAAAGAAAAGCTAAACTGAATTTTTTTTTCTTCTGTATTTAAACAATAACGTATAGAATTGCGAGGTGTTCCAATGGCATGATAAAACATCAGTTGAACAACAATGTACACACATTGAAAAAGGCTAGTGAGAAAGCGGGTAGGTTAGAGCAGCGTTTTCAACCTTTGTTGTTGTTGTTTTTGTGTTTCTTTTACTTACGGCACACTTTTAAGAAATACAAAGTTACGCGTCACCTCAATCCTACATTCATCTTAGAAGATTAATTTTGCATCACTCTGGGACACATTTGTTTCGATTTGTTGAAAGCGAGAGAAGCAAGCAAAAAATAAAACAACCCTTGATTAAAAATTAATTTTGTAATCAAAGCACATGTACTAGATAACATATGAATAATGCATGTGGGCACCTTGCTGCCGAATGCATGAATAGATAATTCATATCATTATTCGGTCACCTTGAAACATGAATATAAGGATATTCAGGCATCTCCTTTCACATAATTGTCCTGTTTCTAAATGTTGCGAGCGAGTATTTTTTTAAACATCACTTTATTGTTCAAGCTTGCACAACAAAGGAGGACACTAGCCCAGGACAATTCCATTTTACTGGAAAATGCAGGGCATTAAAAGTACATACATGTAGATATACAGTGAATAATGTTATATAACATCAACAAAAATTAACTTATTTTACAACATAGTGAAAGCTGAGGAGTGATGGATATTCCTAGCTATAAATAAGAGGAGCTAAATATTGAAATTTTATTTGATATGTCAACTTAATAAATACGAAGCATACATAATGAGTATTATAAGAGTTTGATTTGAGTTAATGTTTAATACAAAGAGGATTCTATCAGTGCCAGGAAATGAAAAGAGACGAGCAGTAGAAAGAAAATATAAGACTGGTTACAAGGTGTATCAACCAATTGGAATGTGTGAGTAATTACATACTTGAAATGCAAAGAGGAATTTTGGTTTCCCATTTATTGGCATTCTTTGAGTAGTAGATGACAAACGAAGAAACAATAGATATTTTGAATAGAGTCTGTCGAACTTGTTTCACATTAACAGGTTTTCCAATTTCTTTCAACAGCTGCTTTAGCCTCGTCACATTGTCCGGCGAAATATGACCTCTAGAGCCGATTTCCAAAGGAAGATACACCACAGAATATCCATTAGCCTGTATATCGGCAACTAACGGGGCATATTTGTTCGATTTATGTTCATGTGCCTTAACTACATTCATTTCAAAGGGAACTGACAATTCAAGTATGAGGATTTTCTTTAAGTTCTTCCAAAAAACACAAATGTCTGGGATGAGGTTGGTTTGGGTACACTCTAGTGGAATTGTGGAGATGCCTTCTTTTGTCCATCGCTCTACTTTCACGTCTGTGTACATAATAGTGTCGCTAAGAGAGGCGATGCCTTCTTGAATAATTTCGGCAAGATACAAAAGTATGTTGTCATGGCGCCAAGTATAGCGTCCCTCGTCAAGTGACACAGGGCATGCGTTCAATACATGGTGTACTGTTTCTCTATTTTCACATTTTTTACAGTTTGCTGATGCCCTTTTACCCCATCTAGTAAGGTTTGCATTCGTATTAAGTGTATCTGAAAGCGAATTCATGAGAATTTTTGCAACTTTGTTGGGTAGGTTGTATATCAGGCTTTTCCATTCTACTGATTTTGATTCCAAGTTCGCTTGGTAAAGTGTAATTGTATATATAAAATATAAGATATAGTTCGGGAATATGACGACATTCTGGTACCTCGATGGGGAATAGAAGGATATTTTGGCACCTTGCTTCCTAAATATGAGCTTGAAGCCTGAAGGTATATTCATGCACTTCGCGACCTAAAATAATGATGCTTGACTGTTTGCAAATGTTACAAGCGAGCGAAGCGAGCAAAGAAGAGATCCGTATATTTTATTGACTTGAAAGTGTTATTTCCTTACATTAGTACTTAGCGGTTTCTAATGTCTTGAGTTCGCGATATTAACGTATTCAGAAATAAATTTTAATATGACTAAATTTCTCTCGCGGTACCCCTAGATATGTTTTGCGGCACCCCGGTTGAAAAACGCTGGGTTAGAGAAAAGTATTACAAGTGGATACTGCAGAATGGGAATTCAGTAAATTTGTAAGGGTTTTACAAATATATTATTACCCTGGTTGTCGGATTCAGGGCCTGCACATATATATGCAATTTTCTGCACTCCCCCTGTGGACGCCATTTTACAGACGCTCAAGTGGCAAATGTTGGTTAATTTCTTGCCAAAAGGAAGTTTAATTAATGCAGGGCTAGGCTTCGAGCCCCAACCGTTTCATTGCGAGTCAAGTACATGAACCACTACAACACGACTAAATCTCTACATGGTGAGCGTTCGCAAAACAGACTAAAGTTCTCCTCATGCTTCGGTTTCGCGTATGTTGCACGCACGTAACTGCTGCGTTCGTGTCCGTAGTCGTATTATACCCGATTATACCCGGGAAAGACACTCTCGTCAGTTTACATCCCCTTTAACTGCTATTTTTAGGTGAGTTGTCATGTTTTATTCTTCGTCAATTATATTATCGTGGGCGATGTACAGCTGCCACCACTACTACCGATTTCTCACAATGTCTCACGCCATTGTAAACCTTTACACAAAAAAATATGAAGAACCGAATAAAAATACTAAAATAATACATTTACTGACTTCTAGACAAAAGAAAAGACCAATAGCACAATCATGAATTATCTTAAATTATCAATCTAATCTCCTTATATACCCCAAAGAACAACAAAATATTTCGGGCACAGTAGATTTCTACCATCGGATAAATGTGGCGGGATGAGGTCGCTGCAGGCTCCTGCAAATTTCAAAATCTACTGGGACAACCCTCACGTAATATCCGGGCAAACATCCCGTTATATTAGGGCAGACAGATGGTCTATTGGGCATTTGTTTGTGCGATATAATTTGATGACAAAATTACATTGACGATTTTATGGTAAATTGTACGAGAGTTTGATATCGTTGATCAAGTCCATTCGTTTACGTGCAGTTCTTCAAAAGAAGTCGTAGATCATTAAGATGCGGACTTTTTAAACATCATTCTTAACATTGCTGCCCCCGAAAAAAAAAATGAATTAGAAGTTGAGAGAAAAGGCGTTACCTGTGCATGTGTAGGCTACCTCAAGGTACTTATATGTCCACCTGCACGGATCACCAGCGAGATCATTCGATGCTGTAAAGTTGCACTGGGATTGGCCGTCACAATCTCGACCGAGAACAGCCACTACGTCTACTCCGCAAGTCGTGTCTGAATCTTGGTCGTGAGGACAGGTTTCCTTATCACTTCGCCCGTAGACAGCAGTGCAAATGTTGATAAGGCCCATTCCGCAATTGATTTCAGTCAAATTGTTCTCACAGACAATCATCTTATACCCTGAAGAGGAAAAGAGAAGACCACCAGTAGCCTGAGCAGTATGTAAATCTTCGCCCTTAAGTTCACAGTATAAGAGAGTTGTGTTTCTATTCAGACCCTTTTGGACATACAAAGGCGATGGACGAACAACGTGGGGTATATCATAACCCTTATTATTGGCCATATGTATTGAGAATATACTAGTTGTAAAAGATGGGGGAAAAAAATCGTTGATGAAATAATATTAAAAAGTTGTTTCAAATTTATCACACATCGAGTAATCTATGAAAAAGAGAAGACCCTTGCCAGAGAGTCCTGGATATACCACTGTGATTGTTTACCCTCTATGTCTAGTTCCAATCGAGATTTGCTCACCACATTCCTGAACGGGTGGTGTTGTGACTGATGCTGCTTGCCTGAGGACTAGCAAAGAGAAGGATACACAAAGCACCATCAGATCTCTTCTTTCTGCCCCAGACCATGACTGTCCAGTTTTGAAGATGTTATCGAGTTCTGGTAGAGAAAAAAATACATTGTCTCAGAATCAGTAAGGGTATCGTGGTGTAGTGGTTCATTCACTTGACTCTCAATCTTATGGTTGAGGGTTCGAAGAATTAAATAACGACCTTCAGTTGGCAAGACATTGATCCACATGTGTTACTCTCCACCCAGGTGTAGTTAGGTACCTGGCAATTCCTTTGTTAATTATAATTACAAGTCCCTCTGAAAAAATAAGATTAATGCTGATAAAGCTTTCCTGGGTAAACAAAACTGATATTATAATTATCATAATCACCATTATTATCATTATTATTATTATTATTATTATTATTATTATTATTATTATTACCTTAACTGCGACTTGCGGGCAATTTCTATGCTTCGAAACTGTGGCTTACGGGGAATGTCTAGTTAGGGGGAATAATTACCTTGCCTGCAACGTTTTGCATAGCAGTTTTGGTACGATCCCAGCTGTTTAGAGACTCAATCAAGGCTATAAACGGGACTTTATCACCTACTGAAATCGACATTTAGATTGAATCATAATCTCTCCATGACAGGGGTGTTAAACCCTTGGGAGAATTGGCATCGTTATATCTTGCGTCGTCTAAAAGTCAGCTCTAAGGGGAAGAGACAAATCTAGCGAATCTACCTGAACTTGGGATTATATCTTTATTATCTCTTTACTAACATATTTTGGGACTCTTGTTTTTCCTATCTGGAGATTTTTATCTCATTCGGTGGATTTTTTCAGTTTTTCGAAAATTTTACCCCTGTAAATTGACCAGTTTAGAGCTCCAGGAAATTATGATTATTCGTGCGTTTTCGGACGATCGAACATGCGCGCGCGTCTGGATATCGATAGGCCTAAGCTATCGTACCGTACGAAATTCAATAAACAGCGCTGACGAAAAATAGCGATAATATTTGTTTTGACCAGATAAAACCTTCGTGCTTAGTAAAATGAAGCATATTTAGTGGAAAGTTTAGCGGAATTTTGAAATCCGGTGTTTCATTCTGCCCTGGGTAAGTAGTTTTCATGTGTAAATCATGCATATGATTCAAATAAAGATTCGAATTTTGAGTAGTTTCGGACTTTCCGTGCGGCTACGAATAGACGCATAGCTTAGCTTAGTCCCATACACTTAATTTTATGTTGTAACAAGATATCTTGCACAGGAAAAATTGAAAGCCAGATCACACAAGGGACCATTACCATTCGGCCAATGGTAACTAGATCTAGAGTCTAGTTGCCTTCTGATCATTGGAAATTTTCTTGAAAATTATGATCCATCTCTTTTTGTTCTCACTAGATTCTAGGCTAATTCAAAATAATATTCATGTTGAAACAGTTCTAAATATTCATAAAGTAGTTAGATCTAGATAGATGACTTAGCAATCTCATTTGAATAGGCCTAGATCTAGAGTCTAGGCCTAGACTCTAGATCTAGTCTATTAACAAAACATTTAATCACAAAGTTTACTCAAGCTAAAGTTCATAAATGAACTTTTGTAAAACACAACTCTATATTCGATGCATCCATACATGCTAACTGTTCAGATTAAAGAGGAACATTCCTCTTTTTGGGAGAAGATAATTATCATTTTAATGCAGGTGTTCCTCTTCCTGTACACAAATTTGTCTGTAGGTAGCATTGAATAGGAGAGTTAGGATTGTTCCTCTTTTTTTGGAAAATAGCATAATTTGTACAGATTTATGATTTTCAAATGTTGGCATGTATGTGCATCTATAGATCTAGGTGGCGCTATGACATAGATCTAGGTCTATATCTATAAAAATACACTAACGGTTTGTAAATGGTTCATATGAACCATTTACCTCGTAGATGTGAGCCAGATGGCAGACGGTAAAAAATTATGTAGAATCTATGTAGGCTAGACTAGATCTTCTAGACTAATGGGACAAAATTAATATGTTATTAATTAATTGTACTAGCACAGTTTAGCGGATAGCCACTCGGCGATCAAAAAGGATGTGACGTAACGTTGCTAAGGTAGATATTAATGCGCATGTAGCTAGTCTGGCCGAGGTACTGGACTGTATAATATGGGGCTTAACATGATCTAGTTAGCAGCCATAACAGCGTCGTCGGCGATTTGTAAAAAAATTGCATCAATGCCGAGGGGGGTCTGGGGGGTTTACCCCCTGATTTTAGGATTAAATCACTATAAAACTAGTCTAGCTAAGGCTAAGACCTATATTCAAGATACTGCTTACCTTTTTTTGATAATCCAAATCCGATTTGATGATCTAGATGGCTAAGAAAACCTAGGCTAGAGTCTACAGCTGTTAAAAATTCGCGTTTGTCTAGTCTACGTCTTGTGTATTATATATTGTGTGCATAAGCGCTCAGCGCTGCGTACGTGATAATGCATTGCACAGTTCACACACTTAACTACGCGCAAGAGCTAGCTAGTTCATGCTTGACATGCGCAGTGGCAGTGCATGTTTTTCAATACTTCAATAATTTCCAGCTAGATTCTTCTTCCAAGCTGACGTCATGAAAATAGTTCCGTATTTTTGTTTACTTTAGTTTTTGCCGATTATTTTGGCAGATCGACGGTTTTTTGCTCTAATTTTTAAAAACAACCTACAAGTAGGTTACTAAACTACTTTTTGACGGGGAACCCGATTTTCGACTTTTTGGGGCCCCAAAACGCTCTCTAGCGATTTCAGCCCTTCGGGCTGAAATCGCTTCTATATAGAGCCTTAGTAACGGAGGCCCCGCCTCCTACGTCACTCTAGATCTCATCTGCTAAACTGTACATTCCCCCTTAGTGGCAGTACTGTAATTAGATGAGAGATAGATCTAGAGATCTAGACTAGAATAGATCTACCGGTACGTAAAATATAAACCAGTCCATGCAAAAGGCAAAGGCAAAAGGCCAAAGCTATCTTAAATTTTCAAATTAATAAGATCATTCTGAGTTTTTCAAATGCAAAATTTAATGGCATGCTTCTGAATCTGAGTCTCTGAGGATGATCCAAACAACTACACAACGCAAGGTAAAGGTCACGACAAAGGACTATTTACCATTACCAGGCATTTGCTTCCTTTTCTGCTTTATTGGACTAGAAGTAGAATCACACAAGTTCTAGATCTAGTCTCTAGACCGATAAATTTGTCTCTTTCAGGAATCAGGGTCTTTCTTTAACAAATTCTGACATTTATGGCTGACCCATTCTAGAGACAGATCGCTACGTATGCCAGCGCTATGCGGGCCTACTGCCAGCCCGCGATCACGTTCACTGCCGAAACTTCGGGTACTGCAGGCAGCTTCCCGTTCGCTAGTTGACGCGAGTGGGACTCGTACACGAGTGGAAAATGACTAGATTTTCACCCAACTGGAAGCAGATTTATTTTTAGCTAAAATGCACCTTTTCCGGCCTGATTTTTTTCGAACAGGAGGCCCGCATAGCGCTGGCATACGTAGCGATCTGTCTCTAGAATGGGTCAGCCATTAATGTCAGAATTTGTTTAAAAAGACCCTGAAGGAGACAAATTTATCGGTCTTGAATCACACCTGCAACCAATACCATTCGCCCAACAGTAAAAATTTGCCTCTGGTCAATAAAACTTTGCCTCAAAATTACTACTTATCTGTAGAGTCTATTTGATTTCACTAATCCAAAATAATATTCTTATTAAATTAGTACCAAATAAACATAAGGTTGAAAAAACACGACTTGGCAATAACATTTGAATAGTAAAAAAAGGATTTTATCCAATAGTTCATTCAAGCTGAGTACTGTACAGTCCTCAGATAGTGCACAACTCCATATACAATGCAATACCCCCTTATATTGCACTTAGGGCTGCAGGTGTGACTAGAATCACAGTGGCAGCAACATTACAACTTCTAGTTTAAAGTAGGCGGACCGCCTCCGGCCCCTGCAGGCATGGGTCTCATTGCCTCCGGCCTCCCTCGTGAGACCGTCCAGGGGCCTGCCTCCTGAGACCTTTTTTCACTTTTCATCAATATTACGGCTAAAGTAATGGGGGAAAAAAAACGCATTTTGCCACAATGATATTTTAAAACTTTTATACCGTATATACCACACCTGCGACTAAAAAGGTTCGCAGCGTGGTAATCTTTTGGCTACTATTTTACTAAAAAAAACCCTGTATATTTGCATTTACTGCATAGGTTATAACTTGGTAACATAATGTACGTATTCAAGTCCTAAAAAGTACTCATATTAATATAATATTTCAAACTTACCAATGCTTTTATTGCTTTCTGCCGCTGAATTGGGTGCCTGATGAGGATAGAGTGTCCAGACTACCAGCAAAATTGGGGATAAAACCTAGACTACCTAATAATAAAGTACGATTCAATATCCTTTTCCATCACAATCTTTTCAGATTGAATCTCTTGTAACTTCTTTGGCATTTAATTAAAAATAAGATTGTTTTGGCATTCCAGCCAGTGATTTTGCTGAGGAGATTGACACATGCAGTCTCCCATAGAAAGAAATCTCCTAATCCTATGTATGATGGGGGGACCAAAAGCTACGCGGGTCTTTAAGCTACGCACTGCATACAGTAGCGCGTATTATATGGTGTGCGTAGCTTTAGGACCCGCGTAGCTTTTGGTACCCCCACCATATGGTGATGGTACCTTAAGCTACGTGGTACATTAAGCTACGCACTCCTTAATACGCGTTCTATGCGCTCAATGTTTGGGATAGATTAGAAAACAACAAGTCTATCGAAGATATCACAAAAACTTTGGGGGAAAATCATTTGTGTACTGTATTTTCATCATTTCATGAAATCATCATGAATTCACAACATTGAAACAGACAAAAAAAAATTACATTCATTTACTGTATTAAAACTGGTGCGTAGCTTAATGTACCGTTTGATTTTGTCAAAGGAAAATGGACACCGTCGCGTTAGTCACTACAAAAGTCACAAAAAGTCACTGTGTAGGGTCTATGGCTATGGCTAGATCTAAGTTAGAAATACTAGCACAGATAATTGTGAATATCCGTGCTTTGCAATAATTGTCAAAGTCAAAGTCAAACAAATTATGAAATATAATATTGCTTGCAAAGTTCTTGAAATTGCCAATTTTGTCTGGATACCAGCTGTCTGTATTACAGGGGGCCCTATGTGACGTCTGCGCACCTTAAATGTCTACCTAAATTTCAATATAAGGTAAATATTTATGTCCAAAAATATCACTGTCATGCCTTTTTTCATATTCTTATAAACATTAATGCAAAAAATCTCACAAAAATATTTACAAAAACAATGTTTTTTCACCATTTAAGACAGGCATGTCATTTTGATACGGCAAAACTTGACTTACAGGTACCTATGTCGCCGCACTAACTCATTTTGCACGCATATATTCAAACTTTAGACATGATTTATGGAATTTCGGGGCCAGGATTTACCCAGGAAATATAATTGGCTAACTAGCGATCAAATCTCAGGCAGTCTACTTTACTTACTCCAGTGTTAAAGCTGGAATATCCCACCTAGTACTAGCCTAGTTTTAAATTTAATATATTCAGACCTAGTTTCCTGTGACACTTGCTCAATTTTTAATTTATGTATATACATTTGGTAAGCTGCAGTGTTTGACCCCGAAAATCCATGAAACAGCCCTGTTTTTATCATCCAAGAATTAGACAAAAAACAACAACAGCCAAAACATAGATTTTGACACCTATAATTTAAAGTCATGTACCAATTTTTATTAATATACCACTGGCAATGTCATGATACAAATGTAAGTATCATCGTTTTCTCTTGATTTTGGATAAAAAGCATGAGTTAAAGTATTCTATTAAAAACAAAACAAAAAAAAATACATGCAAGTGATGCAACACATGCGCCAGTTCTCTGTCCGTTCCCCACTTTACTGTAAAGATTTCCTTGTTGAGCTGCCACCCCTTTCTATTTTTATGCCTCCGCCACCGAAGGTGGTGCTGGAGGCATCATGTTTTCGGGTTGTCCGTCCGTCCGTCCTTCCGTCCTGCTTTCTCGTTATCACGATATCTCAAAAAACACTTGAGGTATGAACTTCAAACTTGATGATAGTATGTACCACCATAGGAAGAGGATCTGATTAGATTTTGGAGTAACAAGGTCAAAGGTGAAAGGTCGCAGAGGTCGACTTATGGAATTCCAGGTGTTGGCCTCGTTATCGCGATATATCTCAAGATCTACTTGAGATATGAACTTCAAACTTGGCTTGGTAATAATATATACCACCACATAAAGATGATCTGATTAGATTTTGGAGTAACTAGGTTTCAGTTCAAAGGTCACAGAGGTCAATTTCTGAAATCCTTGATATTAGCCTTATCGCGATACCTCGAAAACCACTGGAGTTATGAGGCTCAAACTTGGTGATAGCGTGTATCACCATAAGAAGATGATTTGATTAGATTTTGTGGTCAACGGTCAAAGGTCACAGAGGTCAATTTTTGAAATTACAGGTTTTAGCCTTACCATTGTAATATCTCAAGAACCAATAGAGATATGGGGTTCAAACTTGGTGATAGTACATGTATGTCTCATCATTGTAATAATTCCATCCATTTTCCTATACTGCATTTAGGGTAGTTTAGGGTAGAGGCATAGGAGATGCAGTCAAATTTGTCTTGTTTATTATCACATCACTCCCTCTATTAAAATGAAAATACCGTAGTAATGCCAATACTCAGCCTGGCGGGTGAACTTGGCCAGCTCACCTGCCTTGGTTCAGTGACAGCGCGCTGTGCTGCTCACTCACACATTGTTAGCGTATTTGTTGTGCTAACGCTGTGCGCTATGCCCTGGCTGTCATGCGCTACGCGTGGGTAGCACAACGCGCCGTCACTGAACCAATTTGGGTTACCTGGCCGAGTTCACACGCTAGGCAGAGTATTGGCATCACTACAGTACATGTAGTTTTCTATTTATTACCTACTAATTTTATCCTTCCTTTTATCTTAAGTATCTAAAATGTATAGTTCTCGAGGGGGACAGATGCTAGCTCTCGGTCTCAAAAAAGCATCTAAACAGAGCAATTCACTGGCTGCAGATGGACAGACTAACAACGTGCATGTACATGTAGATGATGCAGAGCTACCAGGCTTGCAGATGCTTCCTGAGCTGAAAAAAAATATCTATATGTCAACACAGAGCAAAGCACATACTGCAGTTGAGCAGACCAACAGCGATGATGAAGAGTCATTGGTTTCTGACTCAGAAGTGGAATCTTTTGCAAGGATGTTGGATGAGCGAGCCCGTCAACTTGAGGCATCAAAAATTGGTACGTAAAATAAAAATGAAGAATTTTATTGCAGAAATGTTAACCACATTTTCTGATTTTTTTTATCGTAATGAAAGCAATACTGCGACATAAAATTCAAAATATGAGGCCAAGATACACAAAAGTGAGGGTTGGATGTCCCATCCGTCATGCTTGAATTGCCCATTAACATTAAAAAAAATAACGATGAATTTGCCTTTCCACAGTTCTTAAAATCAGGGCAAAATGTTGATTGGCTTTGTCATGGTCGAGATATTAGTGTGCTTTCGTTTTGGACGACGGAGCATTCTACGATGGATAAAAAAAGTGACTTTACCGTCGGGCGTGCAACGTGTCCATCCTCCCTAAAACTTGTTTCGTTTTTCAGGACGGCGACGAATTGACCCTATTCCCTCGTTATTCATTGTTTTTCTCTCTATTCCTTATGTTATTCATTGTTTTTCTCCCTTTCCTTAACCACTTGGCTGCGGAGCACGTCATATGATGTGCTCTCCGTTTTGCCGTTCTGTGCTGAGCACGTCATATGACGTGTTCATGCATTGTCTTGTTGTAGGCAACGGCACTCCGCAATGCCTTGTACCCCTAGGCTTATAGCACATCAAATTCAGCCTCTATAATGTGGCCAACAGATGGCGCTAATGCTATAAAATTTATGGCACTCTAGCTTCTGAAAAAAGCAAATCTTTTGGGTGAAAACTTCAGCCAACATACTTTTTGTACAAAATGGCGTTCACGGTGGTTTTCGATGGTTGTCGATAGATGCAATTTCTCTGAAAAAACAGTGATAATGGATGAGACTTTTGATGATTGCAGTAAGGATGATTTTAGTGCAGCATCGGACGAGTGTGGCGATGTGATAATGAATTTAGGGGAGTGATTTTGAATTGAAAATGATAGATTTGATTCCAATAATTACAAGCCGTCCCACTAAATGCATTTTGGTGAAAGTGTGTGTGTTGCCTATATGGGAAATTGCATTGGAGCACCGCGGCACAGTGGGCCAGGGAGACCCCAAACTGCGCCAAAAGTCAGTTTGGCGAGTGAAATTTTTTCTACTTTTCTTGCATGCATATGAAAGATAAAATATTGGACAATATCTATTTCCAATATTTCTTTCTGAAACGGACTGAGTATACTAAAAATTATCTTGAAGTTGAAATTTATGTCAGATTTGGACCAAAACTAGAAACTTTTTACTTTTTGGCGCATACGTAATTCTAGCTAAATTTTTTGACAGATTAGGCTATAAATCTGTGTGGCTTCTAGTAACAACACATTCTGAAATATGTCCTGTTTCAATGGCTTGAAATGCATAAATTTGCATAACTAATTAGATATAAACCCCAAGAACATACTATGAAATTACATTTTCTTGAACAGTGCAATGAATAAGTTTTGATTCCCACCTAGTCCCACGTAAACTGATATATTGGCCTCATGATCAGAGTCTTGGCTTTCTGTCATGTAAAATTTAGCTGCATATATCCGCATACTTTTGAGTTATACGCCATTTTCCTAAGCAATGTTTTCACAGTTTTTGAGCATTCTGAGCCATTCGTCAAAGCAGCGAACAATAAGTACAATAGACACAATAGATGGGATGGGACACATGAGTGCACGCGGAGCATGCCCGCAGTCCAGTCCAACAATACCCGTTGCTCTAGTTGGAAGTGTACAGATTAGGTTCTCCAGATTGTTGGAATCGTTACACATATTCACTAATTGTTTTTGGCGCACTTTGGTCTCATTCTGGCCCACTGTGCGCGGGGTAAAATGGGAAATTAGTGAGTCGCAGTCAAGTGGTTATTCATTGTTTTCCTTCTTTTCCTTATGTTATTCATTGTTTTTTTCTCTATTCCTTATGTTATCCATTGTTTTTCTCTCTTTTCCTTATGTAATTCATTGTTTTTCTCCCTTTCCTTATGTTATTCATTGTGTTTCCCTCTTTTCCTTGTGTTATTCATTGTTTTTCTCTCTTTCCTTATGTTATTCATTGTTTTCTTTCACTTTCCTTATGTTATTCATTGTTTTTCCCTCTATTCCTTATGTTATTCATTGGTTTTCCCTTTTTTCCTTATGTTATTCATTGTTTTTCTCTTTTCTTATGTTATTCATTGGTTTTCCCTCTTTTTCTTATGTTATTCATTGTTTTACTCTCTAATTCCTTATGTTATTCATTGTTTTTCTCTCTAATTCCTTATGTTATTCATAGTTTTTCTCTCTAATTCCTTATGTTATTCATTGTTTTTCTCTCTTTTCCTTATGTTATTCCTTGATTTTCTATTAAAAGCAAGGTACCATGCACGGCCTCATACTGTTAGACCTTGCTATACGTTGTCGTCGTCGGCACGACGGTAAAATACCCCGAATACCGTCATAGATTTTGGACGACGGACGAACATGCAGATTTGAGCATGCGCAGATGGGTCAATATTTTATTTACCGTCGCAGAAGGCTCCGTCGTCCAAAACGAAAGCACACTATTGATTGAGGCTATCAATACCTTCAAAATAGTCTGGTAGTCTTTTTAGGATTAAGATACACATTTTGCCTTTTAACTTATTCAATTTATTCATGCTTTGTTATATGTTGGGGCATGTCAAGTGCCCTTTCTATATGTAGAACTTGCAATTACACTTGAAAATTATTTTAATCCGTTGGCTACGGGAACCAAGTGATCCCTGTATTGAGCCTAAATAAACAATTCAGAAGGCAAAGGGTTAAAAGATTGAATATATATATACATACATGTATTAAAGCCCAAATCAAGTTTCTGGGGAGACCCCCAAATTTTTTGTAATAGTTCGCTTCCATTGCACAATGATATGAAAGCATACCCTAATAAACTCGCATGAACAAAAGGATTTGTCATAAAATTAATTTGAAGACTGGAAATTTTGCAATTAAACAGTGAAATTATATCGATCTCCGACCAGAGACTGCATTATGGCTACGCGGCAAACACATGGAAAACAAATGCAGTAACGACACACCCGCTGTACACACGCAAATCGCGCTCGGCTGTCTCGCCCATAGCTCCGCGCGGCGGGCATGGCAAGTGGTGGCCTCTTTTTTGACGATCCCCATCGGATCTTTACTCTTAATTTCATCGGAAATAATACACCCCATACACGGAACATAAACATATCAGGCACATGTTTATTCTTATGTAATTGGAACAATATGAGGACATATTCGCGCAATATGTTCGCAACACGCAAAGCAGCTGACATGATGTTTCATGACTTTTTACTTTCAAGCCTCGCGCACTGATATCCGGGTACCCGGTTCCGAAGTTACGCAGCATTTCATACTTTCATGTCAGACCGAAAATTGCTCAAAAACGTGATTTCATGTACCGGGTAGGCCTAGAATTCCAATACAAATTGTGTTCCAGCCAAAATGCATTAAATGTATGATTATTTTTGCTTTTACTGATTAAAATTAATTTCTTGCTGTTCATGATCGTAATAGTGCAGCCAACATATTTAATAAAAAAAAACAAAGAAATACATAAGAAATACATAAGAAAAAAAAATGATACCAAAAAACTTGTACATTTGATCAGAATCCTACAAAAGTATCTAAAACCAAAATTTAGCAGTTTTGGAGATTTATTGAATGAATTAGAGCATAATTATGATTTTATGCAAAATTAGCTTAATTTATTTATGATTAAAAATTAACTTTTTTGGACCAATTGACTATGCAAATGTGTAGATTACGTCTTGGGCAACGTGCGTGCCAATTTTCATCGCAATTGGTTGACGGCCGAGATCTCCCCCCCCCCCCCTTCCCCCGGGCCCCCCCCCCCCCCCCCCCCCCCCGCCATAAGATGGGTTCAAATAACTCGGCTTTCTAGGGTCAAGTTTGTTCAAAGTTTAATATGGTTGACTTGATAGTCTTCTGCAAGTACCGTTACTGGTTTAACATGGTCTTTTAGTTTGTTTTAATTTTTAATTTTTTTAGTGAAAATTGGAAATCGTGGTAGTACATGTAATTACAGGCGTTGTCTCATTGTGACTTGCTTTAAAAAAAAAATGTTGTATACATGTACAACCAGGAATTAGTGCCTATTCAACTTGCATTTTACATACCGGTACATATTTTACTTTCAGCCGAAAGACCAGAAAAGATGACAGAGGCACAAATTGGAAGGCAGGTGAGCATTTTAACATTAGTCCATTTACACTTACTCCACTTAGTACCTCATCACTGGGGGACCTCATCAATGTTGTAATTATTTGCTTCAACTGAAAATTTTGAAATCTTTCACAAGGGACTGGATTACAATGGGGAGTGAGTCAGTGAGAGCGATAGCTCTCCTACATGTACATGTACAACTCTCCTTAATCACTTTGTGGGAGAGTAATTAAGCGCTCCTTGGGTATTTACCATAAAAAGGGATGGAAATTCATACAACAACTCCCTGCTGCCCATTCTGTTTCATTTACATGCTACAGTAGTGAAGGCTGAATTTTAGTTGCAATACTTGCACATCATAAAAAAGCTGGAAAATTTCACAAAATGTATTGCCATGGAAAGTTCACCAACAGATTTTTATGGATATGGTAGGCTGTTTTTTGTTGTCAAAATACACTACCTGTATATTATATGAAGGACAAAAATCTGTAAGGTTTCTGATGGTATGATGCCCTGTCATCACACATGTACATTGACTTTAATAACACAAGTACCTCTTTATGAGATCATCAAAGTATGGACTTATATTTTCATGACGCCATCTAAGTATCATTTGCGCATTGCATTGTAAATTTTGTGCTTTTGCGCAAGGACCAAAGTAACAAGCCAGGGGTCCATCTTACAAAGAGTTGCAATCAATTCAAATCAAACTCAAATCTAAATTGATCTCATTGGGCCGTATGCATAAAAAGTAGCAATTGCTTGCAAGCAATTGCTTCAAGCACAAGCAATTGCTTGTCAAGCAAAAGATCAAGCTCAAGCAATTGCTTAAATCCGTATGCATAACATTTTGCTTGTGCTCAAACCTTTTGCTTGCCTCCAGCAAGCAATTGCTTACGATCTCAACATTAGCGACGTCACGCCGGTTCGAACATCATTCATGGGAGAACAAAGGCGGGTTTCGCATACTAGTAGTGTATTCAAATGTCATGCGTGTGGGGTAGCCTTTCCTGACATGGCAGTATAACATTCCAGGATGACATATTTCAGAACAAAATGAAAAAAAAACACCGATACATGCACACACAAGCGCACACCCAAATACACACACCCGTTTTTCATCATGTTCAGGTATGAACCTGTGTGCTAACCACTCAACGTTCTCTTTGTCGAAACGGAATAGTTTCCGATAGGTCTCGGGAGCAATTTCTTCTCGATTTATTCTACTCCTGTACAACTTTGGTCTTTCTCTAACGAGCATAAACATGATGCTTAACCGCGAACGTCCCGATTAAGCAAGAGCTCAAGCTGCTATGACGGAGCTTAAAAAAACGTAAGCAATTGCTTATCAGAACAAGCAAAAGGTTCGTTTTATGCATACGTTTTTAAGCAATGCTTGATCTTTAAGCAATTGCTTGTGGACATTAAGCAATTGCTTGTGCTTGCTAGCAAAAGCATTTGCTTGCAAGCAATTGTTTATGTTTATGCATACGGATTCAAGTAAAAGGCTAGCACAAGCAATTGCTACTTTTTATGCATACAGCCCATTATCTCTTAAGTACACAATTAAGATCTATCGAAACTTGAGTTTGATTTGAATCAGTCGCAACTACTTCTAACCCACAGAGGTATAGAACTTTCCTGAGGTCTAAATTAATCAGCTTTCACTCCTCAAATTGGCAACAATTTTTTTTTACCTGATTACATAAATGTAGTTTGAAAAAAAAAATTAGTATTTGTGGACTAGTCTTTGACTAAATAAACCATGGGCTCGCTTAGTTACGAAAGAATGTTACTTAGCTCTCCCTTTTGCTCGTTATAAACGAGTGAGAATAATCCAGTTTAACTCGTTTTACGTTTTTGAGCAATGATTTGGCTCGCTTTTTGAGGGACTGAGAACATCGTCATGGCCACTCAAACATGAGTGGTTTACAGCTCAATTACGAGTGAAAGTCCATTCACTCGTTCGAACGAGATGCAGATTCGCTCCTTTACATACAGAGAGTATGTTAACTGTCATTATACATGTAATTTTTACAATATATGTTTATTATTTTCTTTCTTCACCTTCTAAAACTCCTAAACTTTCTTTGAAAATTCATCTTGCCCCATGTAATGATATTTGTGTTAGTAGAATGTTGACAAGTCTCATGTTACATGAATTCTTCCACACTGAGTTTATGGTGTAAATAGATGAAAAAGAAATGAAGCTTTTCAAGTAATCTACAAAAATCAAAACAGCTAGATTATAAAACACAATATGAAACCTGAAATTTCTTTCGGGATGTACACGTACATGTATATAAACTCAGAGTGGAAGAATGCAGTAACATGAGACTTGTCAATGTACATTTGTAAATTACCATTGGGTTCAATACAAAATTTAAATTTGGAATTGACGAAGGAAAAGTACCCCCATACAGAAAATATTATTTGTATGCCTCTGCCACCGAAGGTGGTGCCGGAGGCATCATGTTTTCGGGTTGTCCGTCCTACATGTACGTCCGTCCGTCATGCTTTCTCGTTATCGCGATATCTCAAGAACAACCAGAGGTATGAACTTCAAACTTGATGATAGTATGTATCACCATAGGAAGACGATCTGATTAGATTATGGAGCAACTAGGTCAAAGGTCACAGAGGTCGTCTTATGAAATTCCAGGTGTTAGCCTCGTTATCACGATATCTCAAGAACTTATTGAGATATGAACTTCAAACTTGATGATAGTATATACCACCATAGGAAGACGATCTGATTAGATTTTGGAGTAACTAGGTCAAAGGTCACAGAGGTCGACTTATGAAATTCCAGGTGTTAGCCTCGTTATCGCGATATCTCAAGAACTACATGTAATTGAGATATGAACTTCAAACTTGATAGTATATACCACCATAGGAAGACAATCTGATTAGATTTTGGAGTAACTATGTTCAAGTTCAAAGGTCACAGAGGTTAATTTCTGAAATCCTAGATATTAGCCTTGTCATCGCGATATCTCAAAAATCACTGGAGTTACAAGGCTCAAACTTGGTGATAGTGTGAATTACCATAGGAAGATGATCGGATTTGATATTGGGGTCAAAGGTCACAAAGGTCAATTTCAGAAATTATAGGTTTTAGCCTTGCTATTGCGATATCTCGAGAACAACTAGAGATATAGGGTGGAAACTTGGTGATAGTATGTCTCATTGTAATAATTTCATCGATTTCCTATATTGCCTTTAGGGTAGCTTAGGGCGGAGGCATATAGGAGACGCAGTCGTATTTGTCTTGTTTCCTGTGATATGAATAATTATACACATTTTGTTTAAAGATTATCAAATGAGGAAAGTCAAAAAGCATCAAAGCAGAACATTGTAGTTTGGTAAATTTATTTCCATCTACATGCATGTATCTCGCTGACATAGGAGAATGGCCTGCCCACAAAATTAGGGTGGAGCTTGAAAATGAAACTCGCCCCCATTTATTTCTCTGTTTTTATAACTTTGCACCAATAATACTGGATATTATGTTATACATGTAGATGTTACTTCAGCACTCAGGCCATTTTTTTCTTCTCTAACTAGTGAAAATGTGATGGAGAAAAGTAATTATTACGATTGTTGAATTTGAGTGTACAAATGTGCAATTTTGCAACATTTGCGTGCAAAGGGTTTATAGAGTAAAACTAAACTTATGCAAAACAGTGAAAATTTCATTAAAGGTAGGGTGTCCCTTTTGCAGACCTCCCCAAATCCAGCAAAACCTTACATGAACCTCAGGCTAGTTATGTTGGACATGTCTGTGAAATTTGAAAGCTAACAGTCATCTAAGATTCAAATAATGCACAAAATACTAACTACTTTGTAGCCTGTGTGTCAGGCTCAGTTTACTTTTTTTGGCAATCTCCGTATTATGGTCTATGATTACTAATCTACACAAGAGCTGATGTATAAAATGTGTCGGCGCTAGTGCACTTTCGCACCGGGCGCCTAATTTAATGATATAACATCAAAAGTAAACCACAAAGTAATCAAAAACCTGTTTCAGTGTCTCTCTGAGGCTGATGTCCCGTCCTTTCCTCAAAATTGTGAATTTTACGTAAAATTCGCCGCCGTACACTGCACTCACTGTACTGGCACTTTGGCATTCACTTCTCGCTCGCACAGATCTGTGCGAGCGAGAAGTGAATGCCGAAGCGCCAGCGCCCGTACAGTGAGTGCAGTGTACGGCGGTGAATTTTTACGGAAAATTCATGATTTTGAGGAAAGGACGGGACAACAGCCTCAGAGAGACACTGAGGTGGGTTCTTGATTAGTACTTTGTGGTTTTATTTGGATTTTAGGCACCCGGTGCGAAAGTGCACTAGCGCCAATGTGTCATGTAGCAAGAATGAATATGTACATGATCGTAATTTGTGACAAAATGTCATTACATCACATACCTGGAGTACACACATGCAGTACAAGGGTCTGCAGCAACTAGACTACATGTATAATAAATGTGATCACGAAATAAATCAATTCAAAATCTAATGGTCAATATAATTCCACCAAAAGTCAGTTTCCAGTTCCTATACTTTGAGGGAGGTTCTCAACTGATGATCTCGTTAACGCGATATCTGGAGAACCCTTTGATGGATTTTGATCATATTTGTCCCAGATGTACATCATGAGATGTAAATGAACTGATTAGATTTTGGATGAAATCCGCCTAAGGTCAAAGGTCAAAGATCAATGAACTTTGCCTGAAAAGTCTCGTTAACGCGATATCTGGAGAACCCTTTGACGGATTTTGATCATATTTGTCCCAGATGTACACTATGAGATGTAGATGAACTGATTAGATTTTGGATGAAATCTGCCTAGGGTCAAAGGTCAAAGGTCAATGAACTTGGCCTGAAAAGTCTCGTTATCGCAATATCTCATTAACTTATGGCCGGATTTCGATCATACTTGGCCCAAGTGTGCACCATGAGGTGTAGTTGAACTGACTAGATTTTGGGTGAAATCTGCCCAAGGTCGAGGGTCAAAGGTCAATGAAATTTGTGTGAAAAATCTTTTTATCACGATATCTCGAGAACCCCTGGGCAGATTTTGATCATACTTAATCCAAATGTACACTACGAGATGCAGATAATTCATTTTGGGTGAAATCCGCTTAAGGTCAAAGGTCAAAGATCAAGGTCAAACTCCGAAATTTCACTGTTTCTGCCCTAACTCAAGAAGTATTGGACAGAATTCCATCAAACTTAATTTTGGGTCAAAGGTAAAGGTAAAATGGTAAATTTAACAGTTTACGCCCTAACTCAAGGTACATGTATAAGATAAGCAAATGTTACTATAAATATGAAGGATTATGGCAATACTTAAGTATTTGTGCGGGAGGGCGGAGGCATACCCGTCGACTGCGCGCAGTCAAATTCATCTAGTTTATAATATGAATTTTGCAATATTTCATTTATAGATGTACATGTACACAAAGAATTGCTCCCTTGTATCAGAATAAATTACAGTAAGGATGACTTTCCACATTCCATGAGGAGCCAAACCATGTTTGACATTTGAAATATTTTAGATTTCCATATGATAAAATACAAAAGAAAAAGCGGGCTTGTGACATCATCACTTTTGGACACAGCCTCATTCATTGTTTTTTGAAATAATACAAATTTCAAATTGCTGTAACTTTGTTATTTTCCATCTGATTTCAATGAAATTTGTACTGTTATGCTTGATTGATTTCACACTATCAAATCATCTTTGATCTTTGATCTCGGGGTGGAGTACATGCAAGTAGGAAAGATAGGAAAGACACATTACAGTAATCTCCTTGTTTTGTTTTGTTTGCCTTCGCTATCCTAGACAAGAATGTCTCGACGACTGAGAGAGCCTGCAGATACCAACCGCCCAGAAGATTACACAGAAAAGGACAGAAAGGGGTTTTGTGTCAAAATTCTACCAGGAAAGGGTAAGGTATCCAGTGCAGATATAAGTGATTTCGAAAGGCTCCTTTTTTCATGAATTAACATCCTTCAAGATTATTTTAAGTGTCCAATGTGTCCAATATCAGGATAAGTAGTCTGAATTGTATTTTCTTTTTGTTGAATAATTTGTACCTTTTAATAGTGATTATGCATTACTTTGGTGGCCCCTTTTTGTAAGCTTTGCTTTTTCCAGGGTCTCCGAACCTTCACTTTAATTTTGATCATGTGTCTGTCAGTGTAAATTTTCTATTTTGTTTTGTATATTTTTTGATGGTTAGATAATGAAATGAATTGATAGGAGGCATATACAAATGTAGGAGGGATAATGATCTGATTAGTTTTGGGGGTATTAAGGTCAAAGGTGACAGAGGTCTACGTTCTCGCGATAACTAAAGAACCGTTTGACGGATCAATTTCAATCTTGGCTCATATAGGCTTATGGAAGTGATGATGATCTGATTAGATGATTTAAGTTTTTGAAAATTTTAGTAGTTAAATGTGTAATATATTTTAGATCTGGCAATAGCAGAGGCATACATTTTAACTGCGCTCAGTCGAGAATCCATGTAGTTTGGCTTTGTAATACCATCTTCAAAAACAGTGCATTATTTATTGTTATCTCTTGTACTCTGCAGGTAGAGCTGTTTTCACTACAAAAAACTTTCATAGTGGGGAGTTTTTACTCCATTACCATGGGGAATTAATAGATAAAGCAGAGGCAGAAGAAAGAGAAAGATTTGAAGAAACCGGATTCAGATATTTCTTCAAGTACAGAGGGAAGAATCTGTGGTAAGTGTTTTAAAGGTATTGCACCGTGTTGGTAAAAGTCGAAGAGGTAAAATTAGATTTCCTTAATTTTATAGTTTTTGGATACACTTATGAGGGTAGAACGCACCCCCGCCAAAAAAAAATCGCTCTGAAATGCCTGTATTTTCGAGAAATCGCGTGTTTAGTGTTGATTTTGGTTATTTATCTGGTACTCGATAAATACGGCTAATTCGCTTGATGTTGAATATCTCATGGATAAAATTGTTTCTGATCTTACTGTTATAATGTAATGATGAGGCTCAGACAGTCATTTGTAAGCTTGGTAGTAGCAACTATTTAAAGGCAGTCACGCAGGGGATTTCCTGATTAATTTCAGCCGCAGATGGCGACACACAAGTACGGTCACGAAGCTGTTTACCGAGCGGAATTGTACGTGCGCGGGTGTCCAGTTTCTGTACGTGCGTATGCGCACCATTCTCAGTCATATCATGTCACTGCACTGTCAGTGTCAGTATCAGACCTGCAAAACAGTCTGTCTGATCTGTCCTGACACTCTAAATTTGCTCAAGTCAAATTTTCAGTTTCAAAATCAAAGTGTCCAGGGCTGTCAGTATCACTGCAGCGAGTGTCAGCAGGTCAGTGTCCCTGTCAGTGTCACTGCAGCGAGTGTCAGCAGGTCAGTGTCCCTGTCAGTGTCACTGCAGCGAGTGTCAGCAGGTCGAGTGTCACTGCATTGCAAAAATACATCAAAGACCAAGCTTTGTGCGCAAGATAGCAAATATAATTCAAACTTAACGTTCTAATAAAGCCTCTAGAGACGATCGGATATATAATAAAACAATTACCGGTGACGAGATCTCGATAAAGACAAACACCAAAATTTACACCGCACATGAAAGTAGACGTGCAATCGCGATCGCAGGTTGCAGCATACAGCATGCAGCAGTAATTTTCGGTCTTGTTTACGTTTGGTAGTATAAAGCGCGGCCGAGTACAACAGCTGTTCAATTCAGTAGTATACTATAACTAGACCCTCTATAAGAATCCAGATTATAAATCTACTAACTAATTTATAGCTTATACAGTATATTATTAGAATGTGAAAAAAAATAACTGTGCGGTAACAATGTAGTATATTTTCTTTGCTTTTTTAAGATGCAATTGACAACACAAGAAACATACACAGATTGCGATATTGCGCAATGTGCACGTTTCTTTCGTGCGTACGTAATGTGAGCTGATCGCTGAGACAGCTCGAGCGGGGATAGCGAGCTGGCGATTCCTATGCACACGGTTTGATTTCTATATCGTGCGTCTGTGTGTGTGCGTCGCTCGGAAGAGTTCGGACGGCCATGTTTGAAATTGGGTGCTGCGGGAAAGACGACCACTTTGGTGTTCGCTTGCCCCTCGAGCACGCGTAGTTTGCATTAGGCGAAACGGTTTCACAAGGGAGTTGGACGGCGTCAGCGTACATGACATTTCTCGTGGCCAATGAAATCGCTCGCCACGCGTGTAAGTCTTTAATATGTGGTTCCATGTTGAAAGAACCAAACAACACACTCCCTGTGTCCTGACCTGGGTATGACTCATAGGTCATGACACAATAACATAAACATTGGCTAGTCTTTGTTCAGGCTTATCATTACAAAGACTTTACAAACAGATATCACGACACTTTCACAGGTAAGGTTCTATTCATGTTGATACATCACAAAATAAAGGAAAGTTGGGAAATTTTCAAAGGACAACACTGTTTTTAAAGGGAAAAACAAATTTGTCTGGCCGGACAGATATCGCCGACTGTAGTTGTCCTTTTCTAGCTTCCAATGCTATTTGAAGAAAATTAGGAATCAATTTGGTCTTAGGTCATCTAGATGGACCAAGGAAAACATTTCCACCAAATCCATGACCTTGACCAACACTGTGTATTACCTTTAAGAATTTAATTTCTGTCCAAATTAAGAAATATGATTATATTAGTTATAAAGAAGCATCAAATGCTGGCATGTTGATTGATCTCCGATGAATTAAATCCAGATTTGTGGTTTATGATGTTCTCTATGATGGATGTCAACCACACTCTTGTTCCGCTGTGTTTACTTGTTCAGGAATCCCTTGGTCCTCTGTGTTTACTTGCTCAGGCATCTCTTGTTCCGCTGTGTTTACTTGTTCAGGCATCTCTCGGTCCTGTATGATTACTTGCTGAGGCATCCTCTCTTTACATGCAATGCCTGCTTTAGACCAATTGGAAATTTCAATGCCTGGTCTCTTTGATTTTAAAGCTCTTTCATGGGACTGGATCTTTCTCTTACCAATCTTATTACAGACTACATCTGCAGGAAAATCATCAGTTTCAGATTCAGATTCTGAATAGGAATCTGGAACATAGTCTGAATCATCATCTGATTGGTCATATGTGTAAGGTGAGCTGCCCTCTGTGTATACTTGCTGAGACATCTCTTGTTCCTGTGTATATATTCCTTGAGGCACCTCTGGTTCCTCTGCGTTAACTTGTTCAGGCATCCCTTGGTTCTCTGTGTTAACTTGTTCAGGCATCCCTTGGTTATCTGTGTTGACTTGTTCAGGCATCCCTTGGTTCTCTGTGTTGACTTGTTCAGGCATCGCTTGGTTCTCTGTGTTGACTAGTTCAGGCATCCCTTGGTTCTCTGTGTTGACTTGTTCAGGCATCCCTTGGTTCTCTGTGTTGACTAGTTCAGGCATCCCTTGGTTATCTGTGTTGACTTGTTCAGGCATCCCTTGGTCTGCTGTGTTGACTTGTTCAGGCATCCCTTGGTTCTCTGTGTTGACTTGTTCAGGCATCCCTTGGTTCTCTGTGTTGACTTGTTCAGGCATCCCTTGGTTCTCTGTGTTGACTT